GTGACGAACTTGAGAGGACCGCGGCAACCAGCGGAGCTCCGAAGCTGACGGCAGCTTATACATTTATTGAGCATTTATTTATTTCTGTATTTATTTTTAAATATGGCAGAGTTGGTCCTTCATACATTTACAAGCCTGTACTTTGTTACTTTTACTTGAGTAAAGAAGTTTAATCAGTACTTCCACTTTTACCAGAGTATTTTTTAACACTAGTATCTGTACTTTTACTCAAGTACCGAAAGTGAGTACTTTTGCCATCTCTGGTTATTTTTCACTTTTTGTATAAAGTACATTAAAGTGTACCAACAACAAACTGTCTCGTAGAACAGTTAGTTCATTGAAATATTATTTCAATTCTCCACTGGTTAGAAAATTATGATGGGAATTAATATGCTGGGTTATTTTGGCGTGGAGAAATTTCTATATAAAAGGGGTGAGTGCGTCGGCGTGCGTCGGCGCGGCTCGACAGGTGAGGAAGACGCTCACTGACAGGTCTGTGCAGCGAGAGTTTTCATCTGGTAGTCTGATAAATACAAGTCAAAAATAAATAAAGAAAGATAAAACACAGTTTAAGATTGTCCCAGCGCCGCAGATCAGCCCTGTAGGAAACTGATCGGAGTTTGCACCTAGAGGACGCCGCCCGGGGGAAAGAAAGACGCTCCAGTGAGATCTGGACCTTATTTTTCTTTTTGGGGATTTTTGGTGTTACCGCTGTTTTCTAATCTTTTTTGGGGGGGTTTGAGGTTTGGATTTTTCGTTTTGGAAAGGACTTTGGACTTAAACGCTTCCAGGATTTTACTTTGGGTTCGGAGCGTATGGAACTCCTGTCTGGACTGTATTATTACAAATAAAAAGAGACGGACAGTTTTGGACTTTCAGTTGTTTTTGTTTGAGTTTACTTATAAATTGGTTGTGAAGATTTTTTGGGTTATTTATCATTTATACTGAAATATTATTGAATTAAACTTTGGATTCTTGGTAATAGTGCGATTTTTTTTATTATTATTATTTTTAAAATAAATCTTTGTTTGCTAAAAATGGTAATACTTTGCCTGGTTTCCTGTGGAAAAAACCCTTGAGTATTTGTGAGTTCCGCTTTTAATCCAGCTGAATTTTACAAACCTGACTCTATTTCTGACATTTTGAATTGAAAAAACTTCCTGGATGGGAAGAAATACGTCTTAAAATTTAGAAACAAAGTCCAGAAGATTGTTTTTTAACTTTTTTGGCCTGGATGACTGAGGATCATCACCAGCAATGATGCTGAAAGGATCAGTTAGATGACCAGCAGCTGATCAGACCTCCCTCTAACGGCTCAGCAGTTGCTTACATTCTTTCCCACGTCGTCTTTGGAGCTCATCAGATCCTCCATTTCAGTGCGGAGCTGCTTGTTAAACCTCTCCAGCTCCTCTTTGGCCTCTAAGGCCTCCTCCAGAGCTTTGGCCAAAGACAGAGCCTTGGTCTCCTTCTCTCGGGCCTCCGCCTCGGCCCGGTCGCGCTCCTCAGCGTAGCGAGCAGAGATGGTCTTCTCCTCAGCCAGCATCTGATGGAAACATTATAATAAAATGGCTGACAGAGATCCGGCCTTCGCTCTTCTCTTCAGTCCTCCTCCTCGGTAACATACCTGGTCAAACTTTTTCTGCTTCTTCTCCAGGTTGGAGACGATCTGCCTCTGGTGGTCCAGATCCACCATCTGGTCGTCCAGCTCTTGCTGCAGTCTGTTCTTGGTCTTCTCCATCTTGTCCAAGGCCATGCTTTTCTCCTCCAGACGCTGGTTGCTGAGCTCCATGTCCTTCTGGAGTTTCCTCTTGGCCTCCTCCAGACCCTCGATGACTCCCACATCCTCATCCAGCTTTTTCTTGGTCTCGAACAGCTGCAGGGAGAATATTTCACATTAATGGGAAACAGTTTATCCAGAGATATTCAGAAGCAGTTTACCGTCACCAGATAAACACAATAAATCTCAATAAATATCTATTTAACGTTATCCCCCTTGTTTTACTACGAAACCGGCTAAACTTCCATTTTGATTAATTTTAATTAATCCACATCAGTGATGTGAACAATGGCGGCTGGTCAATAGAGGGCGCTAGGGCGCTGTCCCACCCACCCATGCAATGACCCAGATTAAGATGTTAAAAGATGTTATATAGATATTTTTTTACAATTAAATTTTAAATAAAAATTTTAAATATTTCAAAATAAATTGATATATATATTTTTTAGATGTGCAAGAAAAATATTTTATCTTTGATGACTAGTAAAGCGTCATGACCCAGATGACAGAGTAACTTCACCAGCATATATATATATATATATATA